GGAGGGCGCCTGCTGCATTTGTAGTACACCCATTCGTAACGCAAAATAGTGTTGGTGCTTCGATTACTGGATGAACGCACAAATATCACAAAGTCACCCTTCATGTATTCATTTAAGGTCTTCTCAAATTAGTGCTTCGATGAAAACGATACACCCACAAGTTTCTCAACGAAAGCCACTTCCGAAGCCATACCAGACGAAGTTCAAAGCCGAATGTGCGCCAATAATTTTCAAATGACATCGATTAAAACAAATCGCATAAAATGAAGGCAGTTNGTTTTGAGTCTACGCATATATGCAAATAAGTGCAACATTTTGACGTTAAAGACTTATTTCGGCTGCAGGGGTTTTGCAGAAAAATACATTGTGCGACTAGCCGTTGGCCACATACTATCAAAGGTAGCGGACAAAAGCAACTGCATCTTCTCAGTGAAATTATAGCTGACGCAGCTAACATTTGCAGTTTACCAGGTTTGGTAAAATGTGACTCCTTATTAAACACGCGTTATGCGACAATAGATTTCATTGAAGTGAAGTTCAAACCAGGAGTTCAAACCGGCCCAGGAACGAAGTGAACTGTTACATTCAACTGTTCCAGAACTTCTGATGTTTAAGTATGTATGACCCTGACCTTTAAGACCGTTGAGACTATAAACCCGTCGATCAATCCGAATGTAGGATGTTCAAGGTCACTGTCTGTGTCGGAGCTGAGATTGACGCCAGGAAGTAGTCGGTGCCATTTTGTATAATTCCTTCGTAAGTGTCAGCATTATACGCTTACTGTTTGCGAAGCCCCGCATCATAGAGTTTATTCTCTTTTCCACCAGCTGAAATGGGTGGGTACATTCTGTATTGCCCCACAACGCTGAAAACACAACTTAGAAGCGGTTAGTTGTCGAAGGAAATGACCTAGGATCCATCTCGACTCTGATCAGAATGTAGTTTTCTGTACTAATCCACCTGGGATAATCGGATAGGTCCGGGTTCAGAACGATGAGCGCAGAAGACTCGTAGATCTGAGTCAGCACCATCCTGTGCTGACATCCGTCCAGAGTATATATAGTTCAGTTTTTAGTATGAACTCGTGATTCCACCTTGCGTTCGTAGGCCTTGAAACTACCCCTCGAATAATCGTCAAGCGAACCCATCATATCTTTGACTTTTGGTGCCACAGCATTCCCGGTGTGGTTATTCCGCAAATTCACTGTTGGAAGATGGGTTGAGTGTCATCAATGCTTGTTTTAATTTAAGCCTTTCAGGATTTCACTATACCCTCGGCTCTTCGTTGCCCTATTATGCGCATCAAGTGGTTCCATAGTCTAGGCCCCCGCTTCTTCTTAATCTGAAAGTGAAAAAAGTCTTGTCCATGCAAGTGTGACAGTAATCGAGGGAAGTAACTCAAGCCCGATCAATTTTAGGACCGTTTTCTTCGCTTGTGCTCTCAGGATGTGGAAAGTGTTCCGATGCTCCATATTCTAGGGCCGTTGGGATATACGTTGACAGTAGTGTGTAATGAAATTGACTGCTAAAAGGCCCATGACATCTGACAGCCTCCAGCTACAGCTCCTGCATTGTGTATTTCCGTCTTAATATAGATACACGTAACGATGCCTAGGCTGCAATCCTCAAATTTGAGGTACCAATCAATCGCTCATGGAATGTTAAGTATACCTCAGTTTTCCGCAAATAAATGTGTTTGTCGGTCGCTTAACCTCCGTCGCCCACTCTTCTACAGGCAGCGCATTCTGGAGACATACCTTATCCCTGTCTTTTGAAGGAGAATTTTATTGGCCAGGCATTTTATGGGTTTATTTCAACTTCGAGATTAATCGTTTCACGGATGTTCAGCGGGGGATATCCGGTACCGCTCTCTTTCACCAGACAGTCGTTCTAAAAGCGACATCAAGAAGTCAGCCGACAGTCTTTTAAGGGTATAAGGAAATGATTTCCTGGGGCAGGGTTCTTAAAGTGTTGTCCACTTATTAGACGCTTTGCTGAAGTAAATGAATATGACATTCAGTCAATGGTCTTAATCTCCTGACTTGACCCAACTTTGTGCAGTAGCAGGAATTTCGTTACTGGGGATTTATCAGACAAATAGCTATCGTCCTCGTGTTTGGGAGCTTTTGTTTCGGTATTCTGAAGCAGCGTTATCTCCACTTATTTATTTTTGCTTTTCACGCTAAACACCGCTGCCTTGTGGTCAGGATTTTGGGCCAAAGACTTTTTCTGAGGACCCTCATCATCTTCCTATGTAGGTGTAGGCACCCTGGCAGCATCCCAACTGACGTACAAGTATAAATCGCATACATACAAATAAACTTATGCCACATCGGCCGTCGAGTGGTGCCACCAAGCGGGTGGCCTTGCTATGTACGACAGGGCGGGTAGGCGCAGACGTACTACTGCTGACACCTCACTTCTTTCCCTTTCACATATTTTTTCTTCTACCTCTCCCCATTCCACTTATAACTTCATCCTTTCAGGCCCAGCATTTAGGACTGATGACTTCATTTGCACTGCATCGGTTTTTCAAGCAACATTTGCACTCCATCCGGCGCTGATATCCTCAGGCATCTCGAGGTCAATCTTCAAGTTTTCATGCCTGATCTATCTAGCTGCCTTCGCTGTCCGCACTCTGAAGTAAGCAGGACAGCAATCCGCTCTTGCTCTCACTCTGGACTTGCTTGGGATTGGTGTGTGCTGTTTATCAGAAACAACGATTCAATATGCAAGCATGTTGGTTGAGCTAACCGCCCCACCACTCTCCATTGGCTTCCAACTGCGCACTTCTGGTGGTCCAGAGTCTGTTGCGGCTGGATGTGCAGGGGTTGGCGTCGTCCTAAGTCACCGGGCGGAAGCATCCGTGCTTGACTGGATGCTTGTTGATAGTCGCCTGTATGCGGTTCGTCTGGCAACGTGTGAAAGAGTCTTACGAGGGGAAGTTGATCGATGTCTGATTGTCTTGTCTGCTTATGCACCAGATGACTGTAGCTCTGACACCATCAGAGACAAGTTTTATGATGTCCTTAATTCCCCGTTGCAGTGAGCTAAAAGCTCATTGCTCGTGATCGTTCCTGGAGACCTAAATACCCAAGTGAACAGGCTTTACTCATCTGAGACTCAATCAGTATTGGACTCGGTACGCACGAACAGTGGCGAACGATTGATTTAGCTGTGTTGCCCGCAGGCTGTTTTTGTGCAGTAATACCGAAGTAGCCGAAGTTGTTTGGCCACTTGGTGTCCTTACGTGATGTGACGCACTCAATGACCACATTACCATCATTTACTGACAGCGCGGATCAGTAACTGACTGCAGCTCGTTTTGCAACACATTTGTGGATTACCACCACGCGCTTGTCCGAAATCGCTTCCCCCTTCGTTTCCAGGGCCGCGTTAGGTGCGGAGAAGTCGCTTGGCAACTGAGAGGCGGGCAGATCCGGATGTTAGGCGTATTTACCTCACTCGTCTTTTGGAGTCTGTTCCAAGTGCTTCACCATCAGATGCGACTTCATTCTAGCGACGAGATCGCCACCTGCTTGTACATTGCCCTAGATTCTGCCTGTGGTACAGTGCTACCAGGCCCACTCGGGCACTGGATATCAGAACGAACAGTAGCACTGCTTAAGTCTCGGAGAGACATCCCCGCTGCTCCCGAAGATGCCTTTGCCCGGTGATATCATTCTCTTCTTCGAAATGGAAAAGAAGATGCAGTTTCAGAGGGGTTTGGTAAACAATCGGTGGATTTATTGTCTACCAAACCCCTCTGAAACGATGACTTCCCAATCGGTCCCAAACATTTTCCAATTGATTGAGAAAATGCAGTTGTTTTTGGAGGAACTGACCAAACCCATCCCGTCCTTTGGTATGCAATTTGCACCCACAAACTGTGAGGTCGTACTCCTGGACATGTAGTCACCGAACACGCCACTTGCAGCTTAGGGTGGAGTCTTTACGTATCATGAAAGTTGTACTTTTTCCGCTTCTAGTGTGACAGATGAGGTCAGTGCACAATCTCGGATTGTGTTGGCTAATTTGAGTAGCCTGTAGCGACAAAGCAGGATGTCCCTGAATCTTAAAGGATGTGTGCCAGGCTACAGTACAGGCTATCTCGTTGTACGACTGTGAGACGTTGCCCCCTCGAGCACCGGAACTGGGACGTCTTCAGGTGTCAGAACCATAGTTCGTGTGGGGTGGTGTCGGGGAATCCGTAACAAGGCAATTAGAAAGTGAGTGTTTGGTTGCTCAACGGGGGCTTCCATCGAATAATGTATCCAGATGCGTTAGTTAGGCCGTATGTTTAACCATCTTTTGCTGAAGGGAGTGCTGTTTTCCATACCCATCTCGTTGCTCAACGGGGCTTCCATCGAATAATGTATCCAGATGCGTTAGTTAGGCCGTATGTTTAACCATCTTTTGCTGAAGGGAGTGCTGTTTTCCATACCCATCTCAGAGTGGCGGAAGAGGAGAGCTGGCGGAGAGATATGAAAGAGCCTATGAAACGTTTGGGTGCTGTCGATGCTATTCGCATTCCAGAATGGGAACTGCGCGATCCCCCCATGGGGCGAAATAGCTTATTGGTTAGAGCACGAATTTATTGAACGGAAGGTCCATGTTTTGAACCCGACCTCTGCCTCTCGACTTTCCTGTCTAGGCCAAGGCGACTTGGCATTATCCCAGCCCTCGTGCTTTCTTCTGGTGGCATGGCAGTTAGGCACCGAAAGGGTGCTACAGCTGAACGATCTACATTGCGTCTATTGGAGACGCTGCAGGAAGTGACTGCCACTCGATATCACTGGTGTTATCGTTATCAGTAGCTATCCATATTGCCTCAGTGAGTGGATATGCGGGCACTTTGGGATGATTGTCAAAATCGGTCCAATTTGGGTTCAAGTAGAACATAAGGTTGACGGAAACCCGGATAATGCGCCTACCTAATGAGCCCCAAGAAGGGCGAAACCGGTCGTGGGCTTTGAAAAGTTTTCAGCAACCTTGTGAGTAGTTTCCTTTATGAAATGTACTGTGATATCTGGAATCTCGTACTAACTAAAACATGAGGCGACCTTTGTGCAGCACAGTCAGTTGAAGAACATCATAAATGAGAGATTCACCGTAGTCTCCCGTGAAAACCATATTATTGTTATTATTATTATTATTTGCGTGAGGGGAGAAATCACCATGGGTTACGTTTAACCAGCTGTGTTATGTCCTATTCGCTGCTCGTGAAAAGTAAGCCCACAGTGTTTAGATGTGTCTCGGCTAACTCTGCTAGTTGTCCTGAACATATCCGACCAAACTAATGCTACACTCTGTGGGACTAGAGAAGCTGAAGCTTATTGAATTACGCACCCGACTCAATGAATAGAGACAGGAAATGAACGACTTGTTAAGCCCTCTGATATTTCACTGCCTTTGCCAGTGATTCTTTCCTTTTTAACTGTATAACACATGAAACCTGGCGATCTACCCTCAAATTCAACTCAGCACAGACGTAAGAACATTTGGGACTTTATAAACCCTTTTCGCCAGCCTCGGTTCCTTTCACAGCCAGCATGTGATGTATGCTTGTTGCACAGTTGTTTAAACCTTCTCAATTGTTCGAGGCTCATGTTTGTTCTGCACTACTTTATTTGCTCCATTTCTTATCTGCCCATGCTGACCACGATCTCTAAATCATGGTATTATCTAGAAAGACCTACTTATGGACGAACAGCATTTTTCGAAATGCAGTACATTCCTTTACTGTTTGCCACTTT